AAACTGTACTGAAGTGATGATGCATGTTCGAAAAAGTGTCTCTCATTTAGCATTTCTAGCACAGCGGCTCTCCTGTCCAATAAGTAAAAGAGATAGAAATTCTTGCCATCTGTACCATCATATGGACAATTGCTTCATTGGCATCATGGTATTGCGGGTTTTATACTTGATTGGCCAGGAAGTCACATTGGGTTGTATAGGATTATACAGAGACACTCGGTACAATACATGTAGTTTATCAATGCCTCGCCAATTCTCTACCCTAATCTCATCATCAACACCGTCTGCAGGAACAATAACATGGGTTGAACCACAACAGATATCGTTAGTGCCTTGAAGTCCAATGAAAGCAAGGTGTCGTGGCAACTTGACACTATTGTTTCCTTATGCAAAATTTGCACTGCTCAAGTGGTTGACTGAGTTTGGCGGTGCCGGTGTACAATCAAGCTCGGCGGTGCCAGTATAGGATCGAGTTTGGTGGTATATAATCGAACTCGTGGTACCATAGGATGTAACAGGATCAAGTTCAGCCATAGGATCGAGTTTTTGGCCATGGAATAGAAGTTGGTCGCAGGGATCAAATCCAAATATGAGATCGAGTTCAGCCATATCATCGAAGACCAGTCATCCTTAGACAGAAACATAGACCACAACATGACATATCCTGTTGCCAGACCATGTAGTACAGTGCGACTTTCTGGATGGCATCCTGTCGAGAAACTTGCAGGAAGTAGCGTTAATGAGTGATTGAAGGCAGAGTAGGTGATAGTGGGGATTGTAAATAAAATCTGAGTCGGATCCTTACTTATCAATGACCGGAAGATATGCTCGGCCGGTGGTGACTGAGGTCTTGACCCTTCCCAAGGGAGTTGTACCTCGTTCGTTTTGAGATCCGGTGGTCAAACTATTTCAGAATAGGAAAAGAGAAGGAGCAGGGTCGGAGCCGGGTAAGGCTGCAAGCTTCGGCGTCAGTTGCAGACAGCTAAAACCAACAGAGATAACGGCAGTTTCGAGCATCGGTCGAGGACACATGGCCAATGTTGACTTTGAAGAAAGGCCAAAATGCAGAATAGGTTTCAAGTGGGATTGAGGGATCATCCAGACCACCATTCACTACTGCCCGATCCCAACAACTGCCAGTGCTTAGCGCACATGCCCAGCGCATGTCAGCAAATGCTGACGTGGCTCGAACATATGCGAACCACACCGGAAGGCGCCAGAATGAGAGGAGTGGAGGAGGGCGAGAAGGAGATGAGGGAGAGGTAAGTTTAAGTCTTGGGTACCTATGGAAATGAGGTAGTTAGCAGCATAAAAATGCACAATACATATTACACGCACCTCTGCAGCTTAGAGAAAGGTACCCACAATCCCTCGGCCGCATTCAACACCATCAATCTCCAGTAAAATGTCACAGCTCATTCCAAGCACCACATCCCTTCGAGCTTTTGACAGACCGGCAGTGCCTGTTCGAAAAGTCGGCTCAATGTCAAGTAAGAGATGTTAGGACCTCAGAAGCGAAGAAGGATGGCACTGACTGCGTCTTGAGATGAATTGTTGAATCAGAAAATATGACAAGCAAATGTAGCGAAGCCATGGAGGACGAGTGCAACTCACAGTGGTGTGTGTGAGTTTTGTGTGTCTAGAATTTTTGAATAGATCAGCGCCATATACGTTGAGCGTATGCCTACAGCATCGACGTCTTCCTATCATTCTGCACTGCTATATAGTATTAAGCAATTTTTACGCATGAATGCAAAAACTATACCACCAGCTTAGAATTCGACATACTGTTAAATTAATGTGTCGAAACGACAAACAAGCTCACGGATCAGGAAAATGATGCTTGATAAGTAGGCCAATACATGGGCATATAAGGACAACACAGATTTCGCCAACCTTATAAGGTAAATATTGTCATACCGGGTTATCCGGTTTTCAGTGATGTTGGGATCAGATCGCCATTCTGGAGGGTCACACTAGCTGGGTTGACGCCATCACCTTGTTCCAGAACGACCGCCTTCTTAAGGTGAGTGCATCATGGGATAAAACAGTGCGTCTATTACAAGGTTCGCTTCCGAGAATATAGCCTTGTCCACGTCCTGCAACTTGACAAAGATAAAAACCAGTTCAAACTTCGCAAGGACGGAGGCCGGGAATTGATGGAGCACGAGGGATCAAAGTTGAGGAGAAATCTAAGTGCGTTTCCATTTATATCTCCTCTGAGCGGACTGAACTATGTTTATATATCAGTATGGGCGCCTATCAGACGACCATTCTCTCTGGTCGAATGTCAGTTCTGTGGAAGGAGTATTGTCTAAACGGAGAAATTCACCTCACGGTGACCGAGACAGTCCCGAACCAGGTGCGTTCAGTGACTCGTAAAGTCCTTGTTCATGGAGGCAAGATGCAATGTTTCTTCAGTAGACTGACTTACAAGGGCTGCATGTCGTTGCATCTGCTGGACTACCACATGTAGATAGAATAGTCATTGAGCCGACTGATATCACACCTTGGGACCGCTAACACTTTTTCAAACACTTCATGTGGAATTGTAGTGGAGACGGATGAGTCGGCAATGTTTTCAAAGTGATTTGTGCAGTGAGGGGTGAGTCGCAGTTCCGAGTCAAATGGAGCGTCCTTCTACACTTTGTCTCTTCAAACTCCGACAAATCATCCATGCTTCCATTGATACACCTCATCGATAGTACTTGAGATGGCCGCTCTCCGGAACTTCATTCTCATCCTGCGTTGATTCGTGCGATATATAAATATATCACCAGTCACCAGCACCCATAAGTCGTTTTCTTTAGTAGTCGTTGCAACAGCTCACGTACGAGACATCACGGTACCCTTCAACGTTCCTGCAGAATATCTTCGAATTTCCCCATTTCCCACATTCTATCAGATCTAGAGTTTGACAGTGGGTTCCAATTCAGGGGAAAGCCAGGGAAATGGGAAGAAGCAAGCTTGGCACACGAGGCACGATGAATCTCGATGCCAGGGATGTAGTAACTCAAAATGATGATGTAATGTAATGCATCAGGCCCTAGCAGCGTTGTCGCAATAAAAATCTCTGCTACTTAGCCTGTTATTGTGCATTAGAATGACATTATAGCCTGCGGAAACACAAGAGAATCTCATCGAAACCAGTATGTTATGATTTTTACTATTTTGGTCGGCATAGTTAATTCAATGAGAGTAGTGTGCCATGCGTGAAACATCTCTGATAGTGACGTATCGCGGCGACCTACTGAGAAAGATATTCTGATCGGAAACAAGGGACAGCGTTGATATAAAGCTCTGCTGAATGAGTACTGAATCCTGCAAGAAAACTGTCTCAACCTCACCGAAATTTCATTACCGCTTCTTCTCGCAAGGGTCTTGCCGTTTGGAGACAATAGGGACGCTCAAAGTTCGGGGGCGCACATGTCGCCCAGGCCCACCGCCCACGCCTACGACCCCCCGCACAGCAACGCCATCCCGCTTTGTACATATCTGTATTATATAATACAATGCTAAGGTAGTCATTGAAGGCTTGTGCAATAAACATATCACAGATGGCTCGTCACACATTGCACGAGCAATACCTGCGCTCATACCTCATCCTTATTGTCCTTCGTATCTTATTTCACCCTGCAGAGACTGTAGAAGAAGCAGCACAGCAGCTGCACTGTGACATATCTTGCATTCTCGCGATCCGGCAAACTCGCTACCTACAAGGACGATCCCCCATTGCCGCGAAAGCGAGTAGTTTACACCTTGCTTGGGAATATGCCAAAAGTCCATCTGACCACGACCGCTTTACCAACATGCTTCGAATTTCCCCTACGGTTTTCGAGGTGTTACTTGATTTAATCGAAGACCATCCTGTATTCTATAATAATTCACACAATTCTCAAACACCCATCCAGACTCAGCTTGCTGTCACACTCTATCGGATGGGACGCTACGGAAATGGCAGGTCACTAGAGGACATTGCCCGCCACGCAGGGATCTCGGAGGGTGGAGTGGAGTTATTTACGGAGCGATGCTTTGCTGCAATTGAATCCTTGCATGATGCATTTGTTCGCCTACCAACTGCCGAGGAGAAGGAGATTGAGAAGTTGTGGATAGATCATGAACTTGGATTTCGGGGAACTTGGCGGGAAGGCTGGGTAATGTATGACGGGACTATTGTTGTCCTGTAATTGCCAGATCACATCGGCTGTCCATTCAATTTCGGGAATCGCGACTCCGGTGTTCTTCTTCCGCATCACGAAGCACGACGACGGCGACGATAACAACGACAAAGTGTAAAGTGTTTATTTTTCACAAGTTTAATATTATGTAATATACAAAGTACGTTTTGGGTAGGGTGGTGGGGTCGTAGGCGTGGGCAGGTGGGCGTGGGCGACCTGTGCGCCCCCGAACTTTGAGCGTCCCTAATGCTTATGCCATGCTTCTCAGTGATTCCTTAGCTTCCTCATCGTCACCAAACTGTGCACCGAGTCGGGATTCTGTTTTGGGTGTTGCGGCGCTGTGATTCGAGAACACGCAAAAGATCTTGATGGAATCTCAGAATCGCTGGTAAGTGAGCTGTTGCCTTGCAGAAAAGCCAAGATCATTACTCACGAAAAGCACTGCTCAAATTTCCAGCGAGAAGCACAACGTGTAAGCTGAGACAGTATGCGTTTAGTCTGGAGTTGAAGAAGTTGGGTACGTACCCGGTTGTTTAAGTATTCATCAGGGTGCGTGTTATTCCCGTATTCGCTTCGCGGTTTAACTTACAGTGTTGACATCATGCTGCCTCAGTCTCTGGACCATCTCCCTATACGTAAAGGCTAACTTGATGGTCGTGACACACATTTGGCAGCCGCATGTCCTCTCCTGTGAATTTTGCGTTTGGCACATTCTTATACGGCTTGATGTTCTTTCGTGAGTATTTTACAGTCTCATCAACTTTCTCTCATGTCAGTTGCAGAAATGTTCATATATTTTTCTCGACACTCGAATGATTATACATGGACAAAAGTCTTGGTATAGTTTTCTTCCCTATCTGTCGAGTATCCGTCTGACATCCCCACTTTCTCGTAGTGAAACGTGTTATGGACCTTTCTAACCGTTCCCAAAACGATGCTTTCCGAGGCTCACTTCGCTTCCGCGCCAGAAAAGCAGTGAGTTCACATGCCTCGAGACCCAACTGACATCAAGCTAACGTACCATCAGACGCATCAGTCATCGAGCTTTTCGCAACAAGGGGAGAACAGCAGGAGTAGCGAAATCGAAGAAGCAAGCAAATCGTATCCTGATGACCAGAACTCGGTGCGTTCCTGCCATATGGCGTTGAATATGTCCCCTGATCTTATGGATTTATGCAGAGGTCCGTTCATTCTCTATGGGGGACCGTATTGGACAAAAATCACGCTCTTGGTTTTGTGCTTTTGTTTCTGACCAAGGACTTAGTAGTAGTGAATCATCGTGAATCATCATTAGAGACGATCAAAGAAGAAGTTGGAGTCTAATTCTAGTTTGACCTTCCAAATTCAATCTTGACGTTGATTTTTGATTTTTGATTTTGCATTGTCAAACAGGACCTCACATCTCGATGTCAATACTCCCACATGCCTCAGACTCCTGTGAGACCGCTCAGAACAACCAGTGTTCAACTGGATCCATCTTTTCTATCAAGGCTGCACCTCTGGTGACTGCTGGATCCCTCAAAGAAGCCATGTGGATAGCGTCTTTGCGGGAAATGGTTCAGAGCCCTTCCTATAATGCTGAAATCACTCAGGACTGTGGACCTGTTGTACATCTGTGAAATCTCCATGTGCTAACTACAATACATGTACTAATTAGTCTGATAATACAAGGATCCCTTCAGATACCTTAGTGCCATGTTCCCAACTGAACGCCACGAGGTTCGACTGCTATCTGAGCCCGTATTTGGTTCTGCATACACTGCATACATTCGTTATCTTACAGTGCAGAAAGTCTGTGATGCACTCGGTCTTGATATGCAAAGTCAAACAGCGGTCACATCAGCAGGCATAATGTGCAAGGATGTCATTCATTGGACCGGGGCACAAGAGGGAACATTTGCGAATCATAGGAAGGATATTAGAAGGTCAGAGGAATTGCGTCTGAGGTTGGGAAGAGCATCTTCCCTTACTGCGAGAGAGGCATCTCTGAAGCTGTTGTCGGAAATTTCCATAGGTGCCTTGCAAGGCTTCTATATTGAGACATCATTTAACGGCATTGCATCCACAATGCAAGACCATTCCAAGGAAGCGTGACCTATTCTTAGAGTATTGGAAGGGAAGCAACCTTATTGTGGTAACTTGTAAGGAAAGTGACCTTATTGGAAGGGAAGTAACCTTATTGCGGTAACTTGTAAGGAAAGTGACCTTATTTTTGGGAAATTGCAAGAGGTCCGTATTTCTCAAGCGTCGACATCCATACCACTGATCTTCGATGATCTCTGCCTGATCGACGATCGACACCTCCCGCCGTTTCATTTGTCTATAATAATTTCAATATGGCTCCCCACAGAACCACATCTGGAGGGCGCAAATACACTCACTCTTCGGCAAGCTTGAGGCTTGTCAATATTGTAACGACCTATATACGTCCTGAGGTCTCAGATCACACGAGCGAAGCTGCCTGCGGCAGAAGGAAAAGGAGAAAGAGGATAGAGAGTTTGCCAGGGCTGCGGTAAAGTCAATTTTGAAGGAAGGAAAACGCAGTATGTTTCAATCTCATCTGAATCACCTTCAATCGCTGATTATAATTGGATTTCGAATCAGAACATCACAGCGGTAAGAGGCGCACTCATGAGGACACTCGAGATGCTACGCTAGTGGTTCAAGAGGCTGGTTCAGGAGCTGATTCACTGACCGCGGCAGATTCATATGATGATGCTGCTGCTGCAGGCCTTGAAGGCCTTGATGACATGGGGAGTATTGGGGGAGATGCACGACTACGTGTGTATACTTTCCTATTTTTCTGGACTAATATCTAACACGAGTCAGGTTCTGACTCTGATGTTAGCATGGGTACCAATAGCATCCCCGCACCGATTTCTACAGCTACAGCAACTACCTTGGCCCGTCTCGACACATTCAAGACTGAATTTCACCCTCATAGTGGTTGCACTGAAACAGTCGAGAGCTTTTCCGTTTACAGGACTAGACCGGAGACAACACGATCTGTCATTGATGATGAGCCATGGCAACCTTTTAGTTGCCGTGCAGATTTTGAATTCGCCAAACTTACGCACAATGCTGCCTTGAGCAAGGATCAAACCAACGACTTGCTCAAGCTCATCTGGAGAGTAGCAGGTGGTCACACCAAGTTCACCTTCAAAACGCATAACGATGTGACGGCTGCATGGACTAGGGCATCTTGCCAAATGACTCCTGTAAGAACTGCATGATGCCAGACTTTGCGCTTATATATAACTATGTTGTAACAGTTTGAAAAACACGTCTTACCTGTTGAATATAAGAAGGAAAACATTGAGTACGAAGTATATTCACGACCGCTATGGGACTGGGCATTGGACCTCTTGGACAACCCTTTGCTAGCGCCACATTTCGTCTGGGACACACAGCGAGTATATAAACACGACGGAGTTGGATTTGAATGCTTCTTCCATAAGCCGTGGACAGGAGACCGCTGGTGGAACTTACAAGTTTGTTTTCCTTTTTCTTGTAACATTGTAACTAATTCAAACATACAGTGGCTCAAAAAAGTGTCCCAATGTTTGTAGCTTTTCATGTAATTGCTATATCATGTGTCGAGACGTGGGAATATGACTAAGCTATAGGGAGATGTCGGAAAGGTCTGCATCTCAGCTTCATTTCGGTTCCCTATACCGTGGGAAACTAATGACATTATGTGAAGATATGAGTATTTTAATTTGATGACTCATTGGGACACTTTTTTGACTTTGAGTTTTACTAATGTAATCTCTATAATTCTAGTACTGCGTGTGACCTCCTTCTGCTCCAATCACTTCTGCCACTCTTCTAAACATATTCTCTATCAATTTTGGGTATTCCTCTTTGGTAATTCCATCATACTCTGCTATCACACTGTCTCATAGTTGGAATAGCCCCTATAGTGAATCTTGATATGCTACAAGTAATTTCTTGAGTGATTCTCAGGGGTATTCAATATGGTTGATGTCTTGGGTCTATGTTGAACATGATAGAATAGTAATATTATGGTCTTTAAGTTATTTGGTAGCTAATCTAGAAGGTTGCTCTATAAGACTTAAGATCTCTTAATCACTATATTCTAATTGGAAAGACTGCTGATGCTAATAAAGTGATTAAATTGATTATTTCCATCATTCCTATGACTATCTCTACTCAAATAGTCAGACAGACTCTCAAGACAGCCCATCTTAAAGCTATAATCAAGAAAAACAGATTCCTCTATCTCCAACCTATAAAAATAAAAGACAAGATGCTACTTTCAAGTACAAATATTGGACTGCTAATAGCTGAAAGAGGTTTATCTAGTTAGATAAGGTTAAAATCAATAGGATGAAATCATATGGCAAGGAATTTATATTAAAATAGATAAGACAATCATTAAGATAAAGAAAAGTTAAATAAACACCTTAAGTTTCAAGACAAAACTTGATGGTATAGGACTATATGAGATAAAATGGAGTGGGAATCTTCTATGAAGCAAAGGGGAGGATGAATACAGAGTAGTAAATACTTATTTGACAGGAGTGTCTGCTAAGAAGCATGCAGAAGTTATGAGTTAATGAAGAAGATACTGTTTTGTGATAAGACAATGACCCTAAGTATACCTCTAAATAAGCCACCAATAGCTTGCAAACCATGATATTACTATTCTATCATGTTCAACATAGACCCAAGACATCAACCATATTGAATACCCCTGAGAATCACTCAAGAAATTACTTGTAGCATATCAAGATTCACTGTAGGGGCTATTCCAACTATGAGACAGTGTTACAGCAGAGTATGATGGAATCACCAAAGAGAAATACCCAAAATTGATAGAGAATATGAATATGTTTAGAAGAGTGGCAGAAGTGATTGGAGCAGAAGGAGGTCACACACAGTACTAGAATTATAGAGATTACATTAGTAAAACTCAAAGTCAAAAAAGTGTCCCAATGAGTCATCAAATTAAAATACTCATATCTTCACATAATGTCATTAGTTTCCCACGGTATAGGGAACCGAAATGAAGCTGAGATGCAGACCTTTCCGACATCTCCCTATAGCTTAGTCATATTCCCACGTCTCGACACATGATATAGCAATTACATGAAAAGCTACAAACATTGGGACACTTTTTTGAGCCACTGTACATTAAAGACATCCTTACCTCAGAATGGTGCACCGCTTGCATTTATACTGTACACTGACAAAATGCACCTTTCTTCGGCCAGTAACGTCAAGGCATATCTGGTAATTGCGCGCTGTGGAAATCTGCCTGTCAACATCAGGAATGTCGATGGTCCTGGAGGAGGGCGTTTGGTGGGCTGGTTGCCAATAGTAAGTCCTCACGACACTCAAAATTTGATTCATGCTTAACAATTTTGCCCCTGCAGCAGGTTCCCGCCGATTCGGACGAGGACAGTAAGCTGTCCTATACTAATTTGAAGAAGGTCGTATGGCACAAATCGTTCATGGTCCTCCTTGAAACGCTCATCCTCATTTCCAAAACCAGCTTTGCGCACCAGTGCTATGACAAAATTCTGCGCTGGTTGTATCCACTAATACTGATTTTATTGGCCGACTATGAAGAGCAGTGTGTAATCAGATTGACATTGACTCATTTTTTCTGGATTGAAAGTGTTTTATTTTATTTCATTAGGTGTGTGATGGCCCTGATAAGGGGGTTCAACTCCGCATGTCCCTGCCCCATTTGTCTTGTGCCAAAAGACCAGCTCACCGACCATTCTACGACATACCCTACACGCACTATCGAGGATGCGCAAGCTTGCCTTCGATTATGGAACTTAGATCGTGCTGCTGGTGAGGCGGCACTGAAGAAACAGAGTCTGAGGCCTGTCGATGTGAGTGATGTATTCAACTTTCTCACTTTCAAATAGTCTTACAATCATCAGAATAGCTTTTGGATTATCGAGTGGTCCAGCCCGCACGATGCACTTTCACAAGATACTTTGCATGCTTACGATAGTGGTTTGTTTGGCAATCACCTGTTCGAGGAGGTCAAGGGCCATGTGAAGGCACTGGGACGTGCCGCTGAGAAGACAATGGATGATCAGTGAGTCTCGTCAAATCCATATTCTGTCAGTTTCTCATATATTGTTCATTCCACAGGTTTGATGCCTTTCCGTGATGGCGAAACCTAAACCATTTCGACAGCGTCACCAACATCAGTTTTTCAGACGGCAACAAGTTCCTGGACATTTCTAAGGTACATTGTACACTATATCTAATGTAAGCTATGACTGACATGATTTTTTTTGATAGCAACTATTGTATGCGGCGCAGAATGTGCTCACGTGCAAAGACGATGAAGGTGGCTATGCACTTTTAAAGTGCATAGCAAGCTATCTTCACGTCTATATGTATATAACACTTGATGTTCACACAGAAAGCACTATTGTGGCTGGGGAGGCCGAGATTCTTGTTTTCCAGAAGTGCTTAGATGTAAGTCCTATTAGTATTTGGATCAATGTATGTGCTAATACTCAACACCTATCATACAGGAATATATCAAAATCCTTGGCGACGAAGCGATCAAAAACTGGAATTTTCCGAAGGCTCACTCTATGAAGCACGTGACCAAACGAGAAGCATCACGGGCCAATCAAGAGGGCCTATAAACTGCAAACGAACGGCAAGGACATTGCAAACCAGGTATGTTAGATCACGCTTCATATTAAGCAACTCGTTGACAACATCCAGATACTCAGGCTCGACCATATGACCTTCGTCTCTGTGGTCCTCCACAGCTGCGTCAACCATCTCGACGAAGAACAACGCAAGGCTATGCTTTCGGAGAGGGAACTTGAGACAGAGGATCTCGATGATCAGTCCTTTGGTGGACACATTCACCTGGGTGCTCCTCAGCGCTCAATGACCCTTGTGCAGCTCGAAAACAACAATGTGTCCAACCGTGCCTTTGGGCAGTTCCGCAAGAAGCTCTCAACCTTTCTCAATCACGCTCTACCCGCCTACAATATACCGCTTCCCGATGGCAAAACGTGGCTGACACTGTCAGCACAAGACACAGTCAGTTTTGTATGAGTCCTCTTGTTTTTTCTTTCGCAAACACATATTCGTGGCAGGTTCAGGAACACCGATATCTGAAGGTCAATTATGAGAGTGTTGTGGACTGGAAGCTCACTACTGATCACCTGCGCTGCAATCCAAGCTTTCACGGCCGCGAGCGATGTGACTATGCCCTTGTTCGCACCCAGGACAAAGATGGAAATGATAAGAACATATTTGTTCGCATTCTATTCATGTTCAAGCAATCAGTTGGCTGCCAAACTTTAGATCTTGCCCTAGTCCTACCTTTGGATTCTCTGACAGGCTCACAACACTCTGTAGATCGAGATTTGTGACTGACACGTCTTTGCACCCGACCACTCGCTTCATCAGAGTTCATTACACTTCACTCTGTCATCCGCGGCACATTACTTGTTCCAGACTCTGCTAGTACAAGAGGAGACTTTTTTCTTGTTGATTATGTGGACTCGGACATGTTTCTTCGTTCACAGAGACATATGTTTTAATTGGGTGATATTTCTAATACCCTCACTGGCGTCTCCCAGACTGATTCACTCTCCCATAGTACTAATCCCTGAGGCTTGCAGTTCCACCAGTTGAATCTTGGGTCGCGCTGAACAAGCCTCTCCTTCAAATCTCACTACTCCACCTCATCTGTATCATCCATTTCCCCTTCACCTCTATCACTCGGAACAGCCCTCTCCTTCATATCTCATTACCTCACCTCATCTGTATCATCCATCTCCCCTTCACCTCTATCACTTGGAACAGCCCTCTCCTACTGAAGACACTATTACCTCAAAACATTTTTTCTCTCTTTTTATTATGTATTGCATGGGCACAACGGCCTCGTGGACATCAAGCATGATGTCCTGATGCAACCGACATGAATTCTTGTACTTCGTATTACATGGTGCGTTTCATCTTACCTATTATAACTTGCTAATTGATGTGTAATGCCTTGTCTGTTGCCCGCCTGTGTGTACAGGTTTCGTACGTGTAATGACGTGCGGTGCCTTCTGTAAGCGAATTATCACTGATATAAACACGCGCCGACACTAATCCTAGTCTCCCAGCTCCACCCTGAGTTCGAGTCGTCTGAGCTACTAGTTGTAGACCCCCTTGGACTCAGACATCATGCCATTGACGCAGCGAGCAACCAAGTCTAGCTCTGACCTCAATTCAGAGTTCTCATCAGAATCTGATTCAGACGGCTCAGATATAGAGCTCATCCAGGTCCGCACTGCACTTGTACCTGCACCTCCAGATGCAACACTTCAAGATCTGCGCAAGGTAAGCCATCACATTACTAGGAAGTTTATGCTACTGATCGCAAATCATTACTACTAGGCCCTTGAGGTCTCCCAGAGGCTATTGCTCGACTTGCGCAGTAAATGCCGCGAGGCCATGAAGAGAAATGCGCTACTTGAGGCTGCAGCACCTAAAGGTCGCAATCGGTGCAACCTTACTGCAAACAACCTTGCGATGGCAGCCAAGGAGGACGCAATACGAGCTCTTGGGAGGAAGTATTCAATAACTCACTGCCTTTGGATCAACATCGAGCTTTTCCCGTTGTCAAAGTGCACCTATCCAGACATTGACCTCAATAGCAAGGAGCGCTGGATTACAGGGGTCTCGATGGAGGATGGTGTGAGGGCCGAACTATTCAAGTTCATTCCTGAAGAAGAACATGAGATGATGAGCTACAAAAACTTCGGATCTCAGGTATGTCGTGTCTGTCTTATTTACTCTTACATTCTGATCTTTAAATGATAATGCACTAGTTCGGTAGGGGCGTGAGCAACACTCGTTCCGAAATGGCATCCGACATCAAGTCATGTGCGGGTGCCATCTTTGGTCTGAATGCGAACATATTCATACGAGGCTACAAAAGAAATGAAGACCCCAATTGTCGCCCTCTTTTACTGAGTCCCCATGGAGAGTACACTAAGTTTGCGCCTGTGCTGTTTCCTAGACCCGATAAGCTGGTGCCATATGAGATGCTCAAGACAGCAACGCTCATGCAGGTAAGGTAGGTGTCTTGCGGATTCTATGAACATCACGTGATAAAGCATGATTTTGAGTGACAAAACACAGAAAAAAGGTTAACAAATCAACGAGGAAATGAGGACACAATCTGTAATGTCAATGGATAGAAAAAGCCTTTGTGAAGATTATGATATTTGCAGAATTTGCAAAAGTGCAGTTGTTAATTAGTTAACTTGATTTCTATGGATTTCCATTTTCCTGATGTCCTAGCGGAGGTCAAAGCTCGTCGACTCCGAAATGCAAGGCTGCCGTGAAGCTGACAGGCTCGTCTGAGGGCCCTGAGTTGGCATGGTTGACAAACCACAGTGGCGAAAATGTCGTGCTGCAGGCCTGAATGCATGGTGGGCATCAAAGCGACAAAGAACAAGCTCGGACACTGCAAAAAATGATGAAAATGTGAGTAGTAACCAAACTTCGGAAGCTGCAACAGCTCACATCAAACTCAGCACATAGGGTCATGTTGCAGATGATGTCTGCAGTGCATCGAGCAAAGCATCCAATAGTGCAGCTTTGAGTATTGTTAGCAAGCCTTTCTCGTGAGTCCAAAGTACCGTGGCCATCGCGTTCTTCCAGAGTCCATCATGCGAGAGTTTGATCAAGTCTCCATTTAAGTTTTTTAGCATATTTTCATTGGTATATATCTCACATAAAGTGTTCTAATGTCTGCATTTGTATATGCACACTCTACAGTACTACCTACTTACTTATCCTCCTCGCCATTCGCTTGACATCTACCTTACTTTACTTATCCTCTTTGGCATCCGCTCGGCGTAGTTAGCATTGACGCGTCACACTCATGTCACATCATGTGATGTTTATAGAATCCACATGACACCTACCTTATGTTCCTTTTCTATTTAATATATCAATGTGAGCTAATAAATTCATACATCATTATCATAATAGGTCTTAAAAGTATCGCTCTTTGGCAAGTCGTCATTGGCACCCACTGGTGCTGCGTCGTCTAGGACGAAAGCGAAGATCTGGAAGTTATGAGCTATAACACCAGGCATGATTGCCGCTGCTGCTGTCGTGGTGAGTCTGAATCGGTTTTGCTGGACATTGGTGTCATGGCTTATTCTTGTGTACCAGGCAATATTCTTACTCTCTGGCGACGCAGAACTCACTGAAATTGGTGATACCACGAAGATTCCCTACCGCGAATACCACAATTTCTACCGTCAGCGCTTAATGACCGGAGGTGCATGGGCCCACCAGGTCATCACATTCTTCAACGACGCTCTTTTCTCAGGAACTTCGTCTTATGTTCCCCCTTCTGCTGCTCTCAATGACAGACCAAGCCACACATGGGAAGAAGACTTCGACCGTGCAATAGAACAAGGACCAGTTGTTGACGACGGCCCGCCACTGTTACCACCACAGCAGGCTAACAACAATATTAGTGTCCGAGGTGGGCCACCCCTTAGTGAATCTGAGGATAATTTCCCCCATCGTCTGCCTCCTACTGCATCTCATCACACTCTGGCTGCTCCCTCAATTTCTGCTCCCCTTGTTGCGGCTCACCATGCTCCAGCTCCCTCAATTTCGGCTCCCGTCATTATAGCTCCCCGCACTGCAGCCCCTCCTGTCGTCAATATGGCTCCTTCAGAGACCATCTCCACTGCAATGGACGACCTCAATCTAGGGCGTAGGATTGCTCGTGCTGAAGCTGAACTTCCTGCTCCAACTGAAGTACGCCCAAAACCGAAGGTGCGACGCAAAGGCAAGACACCGGCTGTAGAGGGTGAAGATGTTGTACGGAGATCTGGCCGGAAGGGTAAATGATCAGGCACACTCGTTTTCATTTAAATGGTCTGTTTTATTTGCAGTACAAACTTTCTATTACAATAATTGTTGACTACCTACGGACTTCAAATGACTTAGAGTGATTTCAATGATGTGTCCGCTTATGGAAAGACCTTCCATTAAAGGATAGAATAATGCAAGGCCAAACAAATGTTGAAGCTTGTCTTCGCTTAGACTTGGCTTAGACTTGCAACATTCCACTTCAACAACATCCTCCATTCGTCATTTCTTGACTCCCGAGAGGGCAGTATTCTCAATACAAAGGTCAGCGCTCAGCCTCCACACTTAATATCATGACGCAGTGGTTGAATTTTATTATACAACAGTTTGTAAGTGCTTTAAATTTGTGCACTGATGGTAGCCAACATCGGCGTCTAATATGTATTCTGAAATCAAAGGATGATCAGGATATCCCTTGCCTCGCAGGTAACAAGTAAGACGCAGGATGAAGGCATTCTCAGTGTCTGAGTCAACAACATCAATGTCAGTACCATCAGACCGTCTGACAAGTGCAACCTCAAATTCCAGCCGTTCTATGACTTGGCTAGGTGAGGTGATGCGCTGATCATATAGTAGACACAACAAATCCTTTGCTGAAGGTTTCAACGTCTATTATTTTGATATGTCAGTGTTATGTAAGCCCAACGGTCGACTACTCACATCACAAAATGATGCATTGTCACCAAAGGAGGCATCAAATCCTTGACAAAAGTAGAACACCTCCTTCAACATGTCCAGTGCAGCACTAGGAGGGCAACCAAGGAGCGCATTGGCATAGACTTGCCCAACAAGTTCCATGCATTGCTCGACTGACATGTTAGCAGGCAGCTGTGTCGGCTGTAGCGATGTTAGATGTGGATGATAAACAAACCAAAGCAACACATACTTGAATATTAGAGTAAGTCGCAAGGAGCGGAGAAAGAGGACCAGTAAGAGAATAGTCCAGAGGCTGCGCTGGATCAAGAGGTAGGGCAGCAAGGGATGCAGCGGTATCTGGAGCAAGTTTCTGAACAAAGGCAGGATCAACGAGGGCGTCAAAACCCCAGATGGCATAACATAATAAGAAAGGAGAGCACGGCATGGGAGGCAGATGAATACGGAAGACATGAAGAGCGCATAATGTTCCATGTGTTTTGAAACGATTGAGCCTTCCACTGTCAGAGGCAAAGGGAATGATCAAAGGGCATCTGAATCCTTCATTGTTGGTGACCTGCCACATGTAATGGTCATCAAGGACAATTTTGATCGCCCTCGAAATTACTGCACGTTCTGCACCCACACCAATTCCTTCCCCACTGGGAGCACTAGTAAGCATAGCAGGCAATACAAGAACTTTGACACATACACTTTGTGTAAACTTTAATGTAGTATTTGAATGAAGACTTTGAGATAATTAATTAGACTCAATTCCTACTCGAAATAATGCTACAGTATATATAATAAGGTACGCTAAATGTAAGTACCCGGACTGTGTATATGTAATTGCAGACTTGTCTATGGTCCACGAGTCGATGACAAATAATGTCCGTTTCGGACATTACCGGTTATTTGTTCCCTACATTACTAATTCTTCTACATATTACTAATCTTTCCTTGTTGTGCTCGTACCTCTATCTCCAATATGCGCTAACTCCTACACTCCCCCTCGAGCACAGCCTATTCCCATTTCATCTCTCAATCTTTCGAGTCTCGGCCTTGGCAGTGCTTTCGTGAAAGCATCTGCGAGGTTATCATCCGTTGGTATGTATTCTAACTTTATCATGTCATTTTCGATGACTGATCTGATAAAGTGATAGCATATATAGATATGCTTCGTTCTAGCATGGAACTTGTTGTTTGATGCGAGGGCAATGGCGCCTTGGTTGTCTGAATAGATGGTGATAGGTGCATCCTTTCTTTTATAAAGTTCTTTCAGTAATGACTGAAGATATAGCACTTCCCTCGTTGCAGACATTAGCGTGATGTATTCGGCTTCGGCCGTTGATAACGCTATAATTGTTTGCTTCCTCATGCTCCAAGTTATCGGCGATCCGTGCAGCAGGACTAGGTATCCTGATATGGAGTGCCTGTGGGCTTGGCTTGCCCAATCCGCATCCACATAAGCCTCTAGATCTTTCTCTTCCCCCCCCAAGGTAAGTTTTCCCTTCTTTGTTGCCTTCAGGTAATGGATGACATGTTTTGCTGCCTCCCAGTGTGACTTTGCCAGTTCTCGCATGAATTGCGACAGTACCGACACTGCTAGTGCTATGTCCGGCCTAGTACAAGTTGCCGCATACATTAGCGATCCAATTGCTCTCTGATACGGTACGTGTTGTTCGGATATTTCAGATTTGGTGCCTGGCGAATGGTCTGACTGTTCTTTTGTCAGTTGTATCCCAGTCTCCATGGGAATATGTGCCGGTTTTGCGTCTTCGAGGCAGAAGCGTTCAACAATTGTGTCGACATATGCCTCTTGCGACAGCGTTATGGTTCACGTGCTTCGGTCTCTCTCTATCTTGAGACCCAACAACCAGGTAAGCTCTCCCAGGTCTGTTATTTCAAATTTCTGGTGCAACTGATCTTTAAACTTCTGTATATGCTCCAGATGCTTTGATGTTACGGCCATGTCGTCAACTGATACCGTTACAATGGTGTGCTCGTCCTGTTCCCTCCGATAGTACACCGCTCTATCGACTTGCGAGCATGTGTATCCGGCTTCGAGGAAAAATTCTTCTAGCTCCTCGGACCACTCAAACCCGGCTTGCTTCAAGCTGTATAAGCTTCTCAGCAGCTTCAAGACCTTTCCTTCCTCTCCCTTCTTCAAGTATCTGGATGGTGCCCGCATATACACGTCGTCCTTGAGTGTAGCATTTAGGTAAGCACTTTTTATATCCACTTGGTGCATCTCCCAATCATTTCTTGCAGCCATTGACAATACTGTCTGAATTGTTGTCATATTTGAGGTAGGGGCAAATGTTTCTTGATAGTCAATGCCGTATTCTTGACGCTGACCATTCACAACTAGATGTGCTCTCAGCTTGACTTTCTCCCCATCAGGTCCTCGTTTCGTCGCTAAGACGAAATGACACAGTATGATGTTGGCTCCTCTTGGTGCATCTACTTTCTCCCATGTTCCAAGTTTCTCCAATTGACTCATCTCATAGTCTATGGCCTGCTGCCATTCATCCACGTCCGGTCCGCTTAACGCTTCCTTAAGCGTTGGTTCTCTTTGCGCGGCTGCCATGGCCATAGGCGAAAAATTCATTTGAGTGTCGTTTGGTGAGTCTTCTGTTGCTATATTAGCTCTCTCTCCTTCATTCAAGGCTTTATAGTATCCTGCAGGTGGTCGTACTCTCGTGGCCTTGGGTGTTATTGGATCCGGCAGTTTTTGTACACTCTGGGGTGGTGTTTTGGGAGGTTGACTTGGTGTTTGGGGGAGTTGGGGAGTTCATGCAATGGGCTGGGCGATTTTCGGTGCATTGATTTGTTCTTCCTGTACTCCCCCTCATCCAGTACATTGTCACGAACGATGACATCTGGTGGGACAAAGCTAATGTTGTGTTCTATAGATACCTGTCTCTTCATCAGCCAAAAAATTCGGTATCCTTTGCTTTCATTGTCCACTCCCATGAACAACACTTCTTCTGCTCTGGCTTCGAGCTTTCCATGATCTGGTGAGTGCACATATACTCTGGTTCCGAATTCTCTTGCTGCCGCTAAGCTTGGTTTAGTTTTGTGCATCAATTCGAAAGACGTATGCCCAGGAATGGCATGAGATGGTAAGTGATTCTTTAACCATGCCGCATAATTAATAGCCTCGGCCCATAAGAACTTCGGAAGGTCCTTGGCGATGAGCATGGCTCGTGCATGTTTGACCAGCATTCGATTGAGTCATTCAGCCATGCCGTTTTGCTGTGGTGAATCATGTACTGTGAGTTGTCTCATTATTCCTTGATCTTTCAGGTATTCATCAAAATCTTTGCTCAGATATTTGCCTCCTCGATCTGAACGAACTTTGTTTAGATGCGCTCCGTGTTGATGGCTGACGTAAGCCTCGTATTGCTTGAATGTGGTAAGTGCATTGCTTTTCTTCTTCAGAAATTCTATCTTCGTCTCCCTGCTATAATCATCGGTAAAACTGATGTAATATAGACATCCTCCTATTGTTGCTGTTTGTGCAGGTCCCCAGAGATCAGTATGGACCAATGCACCATAGGTACGAGATTTGGTTCTGGATTCTTCGGGAAATGATTGACGTGTTGCTTTGGCCTGTGCGCAGGTTTCGCAATATTCCGGTTTTGATTCTATATCGAGATCTAGACCCTGGATTAATCCTTTCTTCACAGCGTCAAGTATCGCAGTCTGTGACACGTGTCCTAGTGTCCGGTGTGCCTCAAAAACGGTTTGTTTTGTCTTTACTGCGTGTGCTTGATGCTGATTTTGATCCACAACGCTGTATAACCCGTTGACTTGCAGAATAGCAGCTATGGTCCGTCTTTCTGGTGCTGCTGTCAGGATTTTGCAGAGTTTATCCTCGAATAGGATAGCGAATCCTGCCGTTGCAATATGATTCGTCGAGATGAGTGTAAAAGCCATTTTTGGAGTATAGAGAGCATTTTTGAGTGTAATGCTTGTTTTCTTATCTCCCAGAGGAAGATCTATGCTAACATCTCCTTGTCCTATGGCTTTGACAATAGATCCATCTGTGGTGTGTACATCTTGGGCCTTGATTGGCTCAAATGTTACAAACTTTGACCTATCTGGGCAAAAATAGGACGTAGCGCCAGAGTTAATAATTGCTCCGCGCTTTTCGACTGGTATGTCTATCTTCTTCGCAATATTCGCTAGATCTGACGTTGCGAACGCATAATCATTTGCTCTTTCGGTCTTGTCTGCAGTGTTTGCCGTTTCCTTTTGGCCTTTCTTTGTCTGCCTTGGTCCTTGTCCCTCCTTTCCGCCTCCTTTCCGCCAACAATCGGCTTTATAGTGACCCTTCCTGTCACAATTGAAGCAAGTGATATCTTCACCCTTGCTCGTCGTGGTATGTCCTCTTAGCGTGTTTGTCCTTGCTGTAAACGCACTATTCTTCCCTTTCTTCTGTGTCTTGGGATTGTTTATCTGCTGATGTTCATATTCTTCTGTGATAACATTTATCAGCTCATATGAGGTAAGCGGCTGCTTCGTTATGCGTGCTGCGGCATTTATTGATGACAGAATTGGTCTGTAGGATTCCGGCAATGATCCCATGATAATGGCATAGTAATCTCTCTTGTCTATGCTTACTCCCATTCCTGCTAACGATTCTCGGATCCTTAACAGGTCTCCGAAGTGTGCCGTCACGTCTCCACCTTCCTCGCATCTGGTGTCCTGGAGTTTCCGTCGCAGATCTATCTGTACCATCTCTGTTTTGCCTTCGTGGATTCGGCATATTTCTGTCCATATATTCAAGGCTTGCCCGAGGCTCTGGATGCGCAACAATAGTTGGTCTGAGACCGTACTAAATATGTGTTGCTTGACGAGTGAGTCCTTCTGTTGAAACTCGTCTTCCTTCTTCTCCTGTTCTTCAATCTCTGTTTGGGTAGCTACTGATTTATTTGGCTTCAGTGCTTGTCCTTGCGAGTCAATCTCGAAAGGTACAGGTTCCTTCATCCTACCATCAAGATAGTGCATCAAACCTCGTGCTCGTATCACCGTTTGGGCCCTTTCCTTATAGGTTATCCAGTTCGTTCCGTCGTCGGAGAGCTGGGGGATATGATATAATGATGAGGAGCCAGGGAGCGTCGTATCCATGGTAGTAGCAGGGCTCATAACCTGTAAACTTTAATGTAGTATTTGAAGGAAGACTTTGAGATAATTAATTAGACTCAATTCCTACTCGAAATAATGCTACAGTATATATAATAAGGTACACTAAATGTAAGTACCCGGACCGTGTATATGTAATTGCGGACTTGTCTATGGTCCGTGAGTCGATGACAAATAATGTCCGTTTCGGACATTACCGGTTATTTGTTCCCTACATTACTAATTCTTCTACATATTACTAATCTTTCCTTGTTGTGCTCGTACCTCTATCTCCAATATGCGCTAACTCCTACACTTTGAATGTGCAGTCAGCCATGAAGAGGCTGGACAAATTCATATCTGAACCATCATTCCCAGTCATAAATTCTATCTGTGCACCTTCAAACATGTCTCCAGACAGATCAACCCCAGTGCGGCTATGCTGGGCTTCGATAAAAGCGATTAGTGCCATGGCACCTGACTTAATGTTCGGTGCACTGACTCTCCATGGAATGATGGTGGGAGTCTCTATGGGTCCATGCGCTTGTACGTAGTTTGCCCAATCCATAATCGAGGTGAATACAGGAGTATCATTACTGGTGAGATCAATGGTCACAGCTGAAGTGCTGGGACGTGGTGCACTATTTGGCAGACTGATAGGCCACCGAGTTAATGACCAAGTCGCACACATTGATGACCCTTCTGATAATGATGGGCGCATAGTAGATGGTGCACACATTGTAAATGATGAAACACGAGATGATGTTTCATGACGAACTGATGAAGGTCTGGAGCCAAAAGTGCGTGTTACAACGGTGGGACAAGTTATGACAGTCAACAGAACTGAAGAGGATGATGGGGTGCCCCGCTTGTGGTTGTCAGGCTGGAATAATAACCAAAGAAGCAAGCTACTCACATTTTGATGCGTAATCTGCTCTGAGATACTCATAGACAACTGAAATATAATCTAGTGAGGACAAAAAACCACATCAAGGACCAAACAGACATACACTATCATCATCGGAGTCTGAGAGATCATCAGACTGTGACGGACAAGAAAATAAACATGTTGGATCGCGTGATGGCTCAGGAATGGCCTCGGTGAAAAAGGTGTCCATGACCCATGCAGCAAAACACGGGTGGACAGCAGTATCAGCTGCCGATGCAAGGGTCCCTCTCAATGTCCCAAACCTTGGTGCTAAAATTGAAGTAGGTCAGAATGAGGACTTGTCAAAGAGTGAGTTAGTCATACCTATGAAAAGGAGTGGTACATCATCGATTGGATTTTTCATCATCATGGCAATTTTTCGCATCAACGCTGAGAGCGCATTGCCTATGATATCCCTCGAGGTAAACAAGGCCATCTTCAAGAGCTGGGAATTTTGATCGGCACTAAGCTTTCCAAGCTCAAGTATGACCCAATTGAGTTTCTCGTATTCGAGAGGTCCACTGGTGGGCTGGTGGTCCCCATAAAGCGATGAAGGAAAGCTGATGTTATGACACAGGAAGTGGGTGTTGATTTGCGAGTCAAGTTGATTGAGAATTACAGAATCTCCAATGGTCACTGTGGTTTTGATGATGAGGTGGTGCGAGTCTAGACACTGATAAAGATCAGGAAGTTTTTGTTCACTCAGTTTGAGGCTAGATGGCAGAGGTTCTTCTGAGTCTATCATAAGAGTGCCTCGTGCGCAGATCTGGAACAAGAGTCATAAACTAAGGGAAGAAATCAGTGAGGGAGACATGATACTCACTGGGTATGGTATCAATACAACCTTGAAGGTGATACTATCACATGCATTGTGAATATTTTGAGAATGCTGGCTTGATTGCAAGAAAGGCCCTAAAAGCCGGCGACGAGAAGTGGTATTGCCCAAATGGCAGGTGTTTGCACCAGTGGTCATGGTGGCCACGAAAGGGCTACCATTTGATGTAACCCCCATGCGACGGGACGCATGACCACGGTATGATGCCACTCAACGGTCATTTGCTGATCCTGCTATGAGAGTGGGTGATGGAGCCCAAGCTTCGACAGGAACCTGATCTGTAGAGCTCCCAGCAGAGTGAGGAGTAGTGTTGACTGCACCACTTCTATGATGTTGTCGAATTAACATGAGACAGGAGAGATACAAAAAAAAAGACGAACTGAGTGCTGGGTGGTACTCGCAAATTGGCATGTGCAAGCCACCCTTTACCACACACACAAATGCTATGCACACTGATCGGGGCTTGATTCTATGCATGGAACATGAGTAAATCTTCTCAAGCATGAAGAAAACATGATGAAACTTACATTGGTCTGAAATTGCGAACAGTTAGATGTAGTACAGCCCCCTTTTGGGGGAAGATTAGCAGCTGGTGGTACAAGAGGACCTTCACTTGTATTATGGTCGAAATATGGATGGGAACAGTAACATAGAGGATTCATTGCGTTCTTCAACAAATCGGAGATTAGTGTGCGGTTGGTTTTAGATTTATGAAGACCTACCTGGAATTCTTGTGCTGTAAATTCAGCACAACAAGAGTCGTTTACATTTGTGCATGATCAACATGAAAAATGCGGTGGAAGAGAGGCCATTGTCGGTGTCAAGTGAAATGAGGCTGCTGTGAATGATGCTATGAGTGAAGTGAAACTATTGCAAGTGAAACGAGGCTGCTGCAAGTGAAAGGTAAGATGGGAGAAAGCTGTACAGTATAAAATTGATAATGTTATGCAGTAGTGTCGCCAGTGGAAGAGGGATGCAAAAAAACAAACGACCGTGTCTGCAAAATCATGATATACATATGTCGCAAGAAGGGCATCATCTATAGCATGTCCCATGTCAATATTAGATGCCATATATGGATCAACCACATGGACCATTGCTAGGGCAGTACCTACCTCATGGTGCTTGCAGACATCGCAATCTGGCTTTCGAAAAATAGACCTCTGCTGCTTGTCGACTCATCCGACGCTGAGTACCACAGCACAAAATTCACTAACCCATTCAGCACAGATGATATTCAACTATTCATTCGAGATGAGTAAACAGATGCATCCAACATTTTCGACAAGTCAAAAGACAATGTGTAAGTGGGCCTTGAATGTGCTTGGAGCCCTGGAGTCACCTCTGAGAGCCATGTCCTCACAGCTGCTGGCATCAGGCCCAAATTGCCTCCAAGAGGTATATTCCCACTACAATCCAGCGGCTCTGACTCTAGCGATGAGAGCTTCATCTTGCACTGGGAGGCAAAGACAAAGACGGAGACTGCGCAAGTGCCTTAAGCGAGTGTGCCGCAGTTTAGGTGATGCGAGGATCAGTAGGGAAGTAGTAATGGGTCGTGCATGAAGGGTGAAAGTCGGTTGTCAATGTCCTTGGCAACTATCGGTAGGGATTGTTGTGACTGGGCGTCACACCAGATCGAGGTCCATTCTGTTTTGGGTGCTACTGGCACGATATCGCTGATTGACGTCTATTCAAGCATGATTCAACAATATCGAGCATGACAATTTAGAACAGACTTACGAGGTGAGTATATGCCTCTGTCAAGAATGAATGCACATGGCAAGGAGATGAAATGTGCTGAGAGGGGAGTAGAGATGGGATTTGGGCTTCAACATCAGAGGACCGATGAGTCCTTGATATGGTAGCCGTGAGAACTATAGGAGGACATAACTCTGCTCCTGCTAGAGATGGCTATGTATACTGACAGAAATTTGAGTTATCAGCACATAGCTATGGATGTGCGAAAATCTAGTTTACCATGGGGAGTTCGCGAGCTTGTTGGGATATTGCACCATCGTTGCCAGCAAGTTATAGTAGCGTAGTTAGGTCCTATACGTCGAGCAATATAGTTTTCCTTCTTTATGTTTCAAACTACAAGATCATTCATGACTTTGTCCCGGAAACCGCCATTAGCACTTGTCATCTTACCTAGATTCATATGAGCGCTTCTGACATGGTTGCAACTTTTCACCATCCCGGCTGGCAATGTATAACAGTTAAAGTAGGTCCCATCTGTTGAGCAATCCAATATTCCATCATTTATGTTGTATTTACAAGGCATTATCATAAGATTCAAATATTGTGTTGATTGCAATGGTATCCGAGATCACCACTTCATTTGTTTGACTTCTATAAAAACGAAAATTCTTCAGGCGTGCGCATATAGTGTCTCTCCTAGTCAGAGCGAAGGAGAAGGAAGACTCGTTTTACATGCTCTTATCAAAACTTTCACGGTTCACTGGATGATCATGGTATATACGACATTACTAACAACTGCCTTATGGCCTGATTCTACAGAAGCACCAATGGAATTCTGGTAGTAGGGTTTGTCAATGGGCACGGAAACATGCGTGTAGACAGCCAGCCTTCTCAAAAATAGAGGTCATTGGAGTTTGAGTCCTCGAAAAGTTTGTCAGGCTCACTGAGATCATCAAACTCTTCGTCGGCCTGTTCTCTATCTTCCCCCTCCTCGGATCCATCAAGTTTGTCTTCTGACTCCTCCGAGTCTTCGCCAAAATCATCATACATATGTTGCTCGCCAGCATCTTCTTCGTGGCCCTCACCATCATATGCGCCTTCATCAATGTCCATAGCTTCTGTTGGAGCTGTTGACTCATAGTGGTCAGAGCATTCTCTGACAATCTTCTGCAGTGCTACTGGGTGTCCTATGCCGAAGTGCATATAATGCAAGAACATATCGCGATCAGCAAAACTAATTCAGATTTAACTTCGTTATCTAGATTACAAGAGGGACACGATGCACTCACATCCCGACATAATGCTCTTCCCAATCATCCACTTCCTTGTTGGGACGTCCAAACGATGTTCCACGGCGCAGTGAACTTACACCCCGCCCTGTGGCGAATGCAGGAATTAATTGAGCACCTCGAATCACTTGGCCTGGATTGAGAAATCCGAATGCATCATGGTCAGATTCCTCTACAAATGCCACCTTGGGAAGGCGAGCGCATCGCATCCCAGACTGATAGTCCGACAATACTAACGGTGCGAGCCACCTGACATAGAAAGGTGTTCTAGCGTTAGTTCCTGAACTCATATGCATCTCCAGGAGATACCCTTCATATCGGTCTCAGAAAGGGCTTCATTTCACTTCCTACAAATCCACACATACGTGTTTTTCTCTGATATAAAATTAACACGTTACAACATCTACGGGCATCTCCAGTAATGTCCATTTTCACTGGGGATAGGAGACATTGAACATCTCCACGCAAAAATTCAGCGCATCTACCCAAAGTGACCTTCGCCTGTCCATGCTCTGTGATCTGCTGTCGGGATGACCTGCAAGATAATCATCCAGATGTTCCACTTGCTGATGGGTCAAAGGGCTGTATGTTTCAGGGACACGAATATCAGAGAGATGCTGAGGTTGATGCGTGAAGAAGGGGTTTTGAGCCTGGTCATCTGAATCTGTAGTGTTCACATTGTCATGATGATTTTGAATGTTATTGTCATTGTAATCCTCCCAATCGATTCCGTACTCCTGTATGTCGCCAATCTCACTGTCACCTGGAAGTGAAGTCGGATCATAGCCGCGGGCACCATTCTGAATCATGCCAAAGAAGAATAGATCTCGAGGGCTCTGCTGCCCTCCACCTGGAATGCGTAATTGATGATGATTCCAGGCTTCTGCCCACTGAATGGCATCTTCATTCAGTGCATCAAGAAATACATGATGCAGTAGCCAGATGTGAGCATCCAGGTTCGGTTTCAGGTCGTGATGAACCTCCAGGAGCTGGAAGAACAACTTCCACTTCCTCCCAAAGCCCTGAGTCACATCGCGCCAGAGACGTTCGATGCAAATGTTGTGTACACTGCTGAAATTTGAACATCAGTGCGACATGCTCATGTGCATTTCTAATGCATATTTACCGCCCCCATATGTATGAACCTCGTTCGACACCCCTACGATTTTCCATCCACTCTGCGACCTGCAAATTCTCAGTTCCATGGTCGCCTCGTACACGACTGGGTACACCATGTTCATCTACAATGTCCAGAAATAGGCTGAGAACAGTTTCAGCATGGTTATTGTCGCTAATACGTATGCCAGTGACAAATCGCGAGAAGCCATCTATGAATGCATGAATTACAAGACTATAATGAATCAGAGCTATGTGATGCTTGAGGAAATACTGTGGTTTTACATGAAAGTATATACACGAACCATGTTGACCATCATGATGATAGAGCGAGTTCAGCCCTGGAACTGAGTAGACTCGCCTTTGGATCCTCCGCGCCCCAAACATTGTGGTAGGTACCCCATGAACACGCGCATATGACTCTAAAATGCGGCTTCGAGGCACATGATGGCCAAGAAAGCAAAAAATGCTTATCGAGCATCCGTCTCCCAAAATTTGGAAAAAGCTCAAGTACCTGCTCTGTGATTTCATCCAATTCTTCATCAGAAAGATCGGATGTAGGAGCTGTTGATGACATATAGATACGAGTAATTGACCCATCATCAGCTACATATTCAACATACATAGGTGGCCCTGGCTGAACAAAACCATGTTCAAGGGCACGCCGCCGGATTGTACGAGGTGCAACACCAAATACCGATGCTAGGTCCATTGGCCCTCGAAGTTGTAGCGCAGCCTGTAAAACCATGGAATCAAGTTCATATCTTGGTCGCCCTTGACCTCCTGTGGGCACCCTGTGAGTAATGGTCAAAGGAGGTGCATCAGCAGGATCGGATGAGTGTTGGGCAGCCTCGTCAAGGTGACTGATCATGCTATGAATACTAGTCTCGATAGTGGTACCCTCCTCAGCAGAGAAGAGACCCATGTGCTACAAATACTATGTCAGAGGATGCATAGGTATGAAATGTAGTGACTCACCTGTCCTACAAGTGTCAGCAACCTCAAACATTCATTTCGCTGTGCTCCCAAGCGAGCAGCATCTCCCACTTGTGTGTGAAGAGCAGTATTGACCTGTCGTCCAATTTCGGTGTAAGCTGCCCGAATAGTTTGAATTGGTATTGCATGTATTTGCGGGTGAGCAGCATCCATACCAGTAGCACTAGTAACACGGTTATGTTCAGAGCCGAATGCGTAGTCAAAGACAGAGATGGGAGAAGAGCCCACGTGAATCAGTGGTGCCTTGCGAAGGTGAAACTAAGATCAAGTTATGTAACAACACGTTGTAGAGACTCATGCCTCTCATGGCGTGATATGGCAGTTCCCACCAAGGAGTACATAGCACGAACTTGTAGTGTCACTCCGTGCACTACCCGCAGCTATCCCTATACGAGGCGCAACTTTCCCACGCTTCGCGATGTATACGCGCGCGTGTTCCCGCCCTTGAGCGCCCTATAGCGCCAGCCATCCAGAAGCATCCATCCACTGTCCACCAAACCCTCTAGTGCATATATGTCCATTTCTTTTATTAGCATATCATTCCACCTCTATTTTTATAATGGACCCTTACTTATATATATCTTTACATACCTACTCGGTAGCGCTTCGGCTCCGCATGACCGCGCTTAGGCGCACTATATAAGCGCCAGCAGTACATACTATTACTTACTTTTCACTTACTTTCCCTTTAACTTACTAGTTACCACCCACCATTTTACTTAGCAGAACATAGTAGAAGTCTATTTTGTCTATACTTCACATCTCTTTTCTCTTATCTTGCATCATATCATCACTTAAGCTTAGTCTCTATCATTTCCGCATACGCGCGCGTGTTCCCGCACCTTGCGCGCACCTGCGCTTTCTCGCGCTGCGCTTCAGTGCATACCTCTAGATCTTTGCTGCACTCACTTCCCCTTTAGGGTCGAACGCACTTGTCTCCTCAAGTAATGCAGACTAAGCAACACTCGACCTACAACATTTTTATAGATACAGCTAGGAGCCTTCAATTGTTCCTCATTGTATTGTTGTTTCTACAATGTTTAACTTGTCTTTGGACACGGCTACGATTTTGCACTAAGGTTCCTGCATTTGTTTTCCTTCGTAAGTTTTTGACCATGCGTAGGTCATCATACACCATGATTCACCGTGATTCATTATGAGCTGTTATATCTTAGGAAAATTCAGGTCAACTCAAGTTGTAATTTTTTTTGTCCAGTAGTTTGGGGGTCACTACTGGACAAAAAAAAATTACAACTTGAGTTGACCTGAATTTGCCTTTGACACAACAGCTCATAATGAATCACGGTGAATCATAGTGTATGATGACCTACGCATGGTCAAAAACTTACGAAGGAAAACAAATGCAGGGACCTTAGTGCAAGATCGAGGACAAGATGTTTGTTTACATATCTTGATCTTGGTTTCACCTTCGTAAGGACCACTCCAGGTCTGCTTTTGGTTTACATAATCAGATTCAACATGGACTTAGCAAGGACTTCGCACTTCTTTTGTCTTCTAAAGTTGGGCCAGGTGAAATTGACGCGGTCCTGCCGCGCCTGCTGCAGTCGTGACCTGTCTGTGAGGCCCGATGTAGGGATTCATTTCTGGTTGGGCTTGTAGAGACTGTTTTTACCTTACCTTATGTTGGCACTTTTGTAGCTTACATAATCAAGCAATCTTTTCACCAGTTACCAGTATGAGTCTGAGAGATCAGCAAGTTTTTATGGTATTTCCTCTCCTCTGAGCCTTGAGCCTGGTCCAGAAACCCTTTAGGGTCGAATAGCAGCTAGGTTCTGCAAGACCCAACACATTGTTCAGACTCACCATCTGAATTGTTGTACCTTCACCGACACAGCATATGAGCGTCATCATGGGTGTGGTCCAGAGAGGGAGGAAAAGAAAATAGTAATTGGCTTATATACCTAGTTGTACATGTCCCTACAGCAAATAAAACAAGGCTACTACGTCCATTACTGAGTGATTAAGTACTGGCATGGATGCTCAGGCTGCTCACTGGCGCCCGCAAATACATGCAATACCTATTCAAACGATTCATGCAGCTTACACCAAAATCGGACGACGGGTCAATACTGCCCTTCGCACACATGGGAAATGCTGCTCGCTTGGGAGCGCAGCGAAATGAATGTTTGAGGTTGCTGGAGCGCTGACACTTGTCCTGCACACCAAGGCTCTGCAACTTCTGCATAAGTACAAGCTCGGTCACAGGGATGAAAAGCGCGTTTCCCTTGATGGCTTGAGACAGTAACCCATCTGCGACATCAATGCTTGCTAAAGCCTAAGATCACAAGAACATCAGTGGGCCTTCTTATGAATGCACGGTAGCTTACCTCCATGGCTGCATAGTGTATGGCGATGGATATCGATGAATTGGATCCTTTGCCTATGACATCCACGATAACGATGTCATAGCACCTGTTGTGAACGAGAGCAAGAGCAGCTATGAGACCTGCGGGGCCTGCACCCACGTTATGTTCTCAGGGAGAGACATTGTCTGCTTGGAGGATTTTGAGAATGATAAAGTGACTGAGACGATGCATTAGCGTCAGATAGCTTTTGCACCTCTAATGAAAGGCCACCAGTATACAAGTTATCTTAACCCATAGTGGTGAAGGATGATTTGCTATCGCGCATGAACTGCAACTGTCGGAAAATGTGGTCAATAACCAGACTGGACTCGGATTATGCGCTGCCCGAACGTGGAGCTCAGTCGGAACATGGCACTAAGGTATCTGAAGGGATCCTTGTATTATCAGACTAATCAGTACATGTGTCGTAGTTACAGTGGCTCAAAAAAGTGTCCCAATGTTTGTAGCTTTTCATGTAATTGCTATATCATGTGTCGAGACGTGGGAATATGACTAAGCTATAGGGAGATGTCGGAAAGGTCTGCATCTCAGCTTCATTTCGGTTCCCTATACCGTGGGAAACTAATGACATTATGTGAAGATATGAGTATTTTAATTTGATGACTCATTGGGACACTTTTTTGACTTTGAGTTTTACTAATGTAATCTCTATAATTCTAGTACTGCGTGTGACCTCCTTCTGCTCCAATCACTTCTGCCACTCTTCTAAACATATTCTCTATCAATTTTGGGTATTCCTCTTTGGTAATTCCATCATACTCTGCTATCACACTGTCTCATAGTTGGAATAGCCCCTATAGTGAATCTTGATATGCTACAAGTAATTTCTTGAGTGATTCTCAGGGGTATTCAATATGGTTGATGTCTTGGGTCTATGTTGAACATGATAGAATAGTAATATTATGGTCTTTAAGTTATTTGGTAGCTAATCTAGAAGGTTGCTCTATAAGACTTAAGATCTCTTAATCACTATATTCTAATTGGAAAGACTGCTGATGCTAATAAAGTGATTAAATTGATTATTTCCATCATTCCTATGACTATCTCTACTCAAATAGTCAGACAGACTCTCAAGACAGCCCATCTTAAAGCTATAATCAAGAAAAACAGATTCCTCTATCTCCAACCTATAAAAATAAAAGACAAGATGCTACTTTCAAGTACAAATATTGGACTGCTAATAGCTGAAAGAGGTTTATCTAGTTAGATAAGGTTAAAATCAATAGGATGAAATCATATGGCAAGGAATTTATATTAAAATAGATAAGACAATCATTAAGATAAAGAAAAGTTAAATAAACACCTTAAGTTTCAAGACAAAACTTGATGGTATAGGACTATATGAGATAAAATGGAGTGGGAATCTTCTATGAAGCAAAGGGGAGGATGAATACAGAGTAGTAAATACTTATTTGACAGGAGTGTCTGCTAAGAAGCATGCAGAAGTTATGAGTTAATGAAGAAGATACTGTTTTGTGATAAGACAATGACCCTAAGTATACCTCTAAATAAGCCACCAATAGCTTGCAAACCATGATATTACTATTCTATCATGTTCAACATAGACCCAAGACATCAACCATATTGAATACCCCTGAGAATCACTCAAGAAATTACTTGTAGCATATCAAGATTCACTGTAGGGGCTATTCCAACTATGAGACAGTGTTACAG